ATGTTTAGACTAAATATCTTCAGTAAAAGAGGCTTGTTTTTCTCATTATACTTAGTACTCATATAAATAGTTGTCATACTCATTTTTTAATATAGATTTAATAGCTATTTATACTTTTGCTTTATATTTATTTTTTTTACATATTATAATTCTTGAATACAACTTATTTATAATATAAAATTTGTAAATTTTTATAAGTAAATTTTACTATTGAGCCAAATGTGAAATATTCTAATCTAAAACCTTTTTCTTACTAAGTAAATCACTCTTAAAGCTTTTAAAAAAAGTTGTAGAACTAGTACTTTTTAAAAAATTTTTAGAAAATATTTTACTAATATAAAATTTTTTTAAAAAAATTAATTTTTTTAAAAAAAAATTTATATGTTAATGAAATATTTTTTAAAAATTTTTTAAAAACTATTAGGCTAATTTTAATATTTTTACTACTATTAAATGCATCTTAATAAGCTCTACAACTTTTATTAGAAGCTTATAAATAATTTACTTAGTAAGAAAAAAGGTTTAGATTGAAGCACTTCATATTTAGCTCAATATAAAATCTATTTATAAAAATTTGCAAATTTTCTCTAAATAGCAAATAGATTATCTATTAAAGATATTATATTATCTATCAAATTAGCTTCTACAATTACTATAAATTATTTTTTATATCTTAATTCACAAATTTATTATAATATTTAAATATCTTACTATATTTTTTGTTCTTTAATCTTATTTTTAATCAATGTTATCACATAGACACTTTTAAACACTTTGAACATTTTTTTAAATTAAAATTACTCAAAAATTTATTAAGATAATCTATTTTAATTTGTCAATTATTATAAAACACACTTATGGTGGTTTTGCACCTATTATATATTTTTATTATGTTTTTTAAAATTTTCCAAGTTTTTATAAGTTTTGTATATAAAATTTTTAACATCAATTTTTTCACTTTAAAGTTAATATTAAAGTTAGGATTAGGGTTTGAAAAGAGTTTTTTGGGGTGTAGAATATTTTTACTTAGAACACCTCATATCGATTAATTAGCCAGTTTTTGAGATAATACAACATAGGTGGTAAAACATCATAGGTGTGTTTTAGTACAGATATTATAAAACGCACCTATGGTGTTTAACATCATACCGGTTATACAAAATATTTACTAGATCGATCAACTTAAATTATTACATAATTACATAATATTTATGATCGACATTAATTTAATTTAAACTTTTTTTTTATATATCACTTTTTTTTATACATTGTTTTTTTTTAGCATCGCTTTTACTCTAGATCACTTTTACTCTAGATCGCTTTTTTTTAGATTGCTTTTCTCTTGTATCGTTTTTTTTTTTTATCATTTTTTAGTTTTTACATGTTACTGGTCTTTTCTATCTGTGTTACTTCTAGTCGCATAACTTCTTTAACCATACTGACTTTCTATTCGTGTTATCTTTTTAACTGTGTTTATACCTTCTATCCTGTCACTTTCTTCTGACGTGTATGGCATTTTTATCTTGTGTTATTTTTTTGTTTGTATGTTTTTTCTATCTGTTTCACTACTCTAACCTTGTTGCCTTTTATAGCTGCATCGCTTTTTAATCATGCTGCCTTTTTTAACTGTGTCACTTTCTTCTAACGTGTGTCCTCAATTTTGCGTCTTTTTGTTTTGTGTGTTTTTCTATCCACTTTATTGTTCTAACCTTGTGTTTTTTCTAGCTGCGTTGCTTTAACCGTGCTGTCTTTCCTATCTGTGTCACTTTTTTTAGACATGTATGACCTTCTTGTACCAGTTTTTTGGCTGTTTTTTTTTTCTATTAGCTTCTCTATTCTAACCATGTTGCCTTTTCTACTGCGTCATTTCGTAATCATATTGGCTTTCCATTGTACTGGCTTTTCCATCGTGCTGGATTTTCTATTATACTGGCATTTTCATCGTACTGACATTTCCATCGTACTGGCATTCAATCATACTGGCTTCTTCATCATACAGGATTTTCTATTATACTGGATTTTCCATTCACATTGCTTTTTTTTAACTGTGGCATCTTTTTTGTTTGCGTCATTTTCTTTTACCGTGTGTTGCTGTGTCGCTTTTTTGTTTGCTTTTGGCTGTTTTCACTACACTGGTTTGCATTATTTTCTTGAGATCTTTTTTTTTTTTTCTTTTGTGCTGAATTTTTTTTTGAATCGATTTTTTATTTTCAGGTCCAATTTTATATTACTGTTAACATGAATAACTTGCCCTTTTTCAGTGTTAATGAGGATTATGATAGCTTTAGGAGCAGTGATGAGAATGTTAATGAAACCTCTGTCAATATACTCAACAATTTCAACACTCAATACAGTGATGAGTGTGTAATCGAAGAAAATGAATCGGATTTGGAGAGTGAAGATGAAAATGAATCAGATTTGGAGAGTGAAGATAAAAATGAATTGGATTTGAGAGTGAAGATGAAAATGCAAGCGCTACGCATTCTTTGGCCAAAAATCAGGTCTTTGAATCTTGGGATGATATTGATAAGTAAGTGCAGTTAAAAAAATTTTTGTGTTAAAAATCAAGTTTGAATATTTCATTAATATCTGCCTTTAGGTACTTTGAATGTTATGGCTAGGTGAATGGCTTTGCATTTTGTAAAGTTTGTAGTGAAATTGACAAGGTCGATAAGAAACCCCAATGTCATGTATATTCATGTATGAAAGGTCGAAGATATGTACAACATTAGGAAGTGCATGTAATTGATGAAAGAAATAAAGGTCACAAGACAGAAGGTTGTCCCTTTCATGTCAATTTATATCGATGGAAGAGTGATGATAGAATTTGTATTTCAAGTATTGCCAGTATACATAATCATGAAATGGTTGAAAACATTATTATGATTAAACCTAGTTATTAATATTTGACTAAAGAAATGCAGGATAACATTTGATTACTTGCAGCTTGTGGTGTATGAGCTGGTGCAATCATTGAAGTTTTACAGAAAAAAAATCCTGGAAAATATATCTATTCACGTAATGTTTATAATATGATACAAACAATTCGTTGTGAGAACCATGTAATGGGTGATGCAGCTAGTATGTATTTAGAACTTATTAAATACAACATGAAGAGCCTGGCTATTATGTTGATGCAAGGTTTGAGGGAATAGATAACCACTTGGTTGGTCTCATATAGATGCGGTCAAGTCAGATACAACTTTAGGCCAGGTTTTATGATGTTGTCCTTATGGACACAATATTTAAAACGAATCACTATATGATGAAACTTTGTATTATAATAGTTGTTGACAACTATAACCATTCACGCTTAGTAGCTAATGCTATCATATCAGATGAGACAAAGGAAACTTTTTCATAGGTTTTAGAAAGTCTAGTTAAAGCATCAAATGGTTTAGCACCAAAGCTTTTATTTACAGATGCAGATTGTGCAATGGTAGCGGCTATAAATGAAGTTTTGCCAAATACGAAGCACCATTTTTGCCTTTTCCATATTAGAAAAAAATTAGAAAAACAGTTCATGGGTAAATATAAAGGCGTGAAATAGGGAGAGTTTTTTAATACATTCTGTCATACAAGAAATAGTCACGTGGAAGCTATTTTTGAGAGGCGTTGGACTGACATGATACAAAAGTATCCTGATTCTGCACAATATTTAGGAAAACAACTTTATCCTTGTCGAGAGGTGTGGGTTCTTTGCTTTACTCATAGATCATTCAACGCAGGTTACAAACAACCCAACGAATTGAATCATACAATAGCCTTATCAAAAAACATGTAAATGGTACTACATCTTTGTTTGAGTTAATTAATACGATTGAGAAATTACTTGTAAAGGAGGGTCGATATCAACGTTTCAATGAGGTTGTTGGTGTTTTGCCTAATATCTATAATGAAGAATATTATACTAGATATTTTAAGGCAGTCGACAAATCATGTCAAAAATTTTTAATGACCGCGGTTCTTAAAATTCAACGTCGTGAAATAAATTGCAGCATTTACTATAAAGCACAATTAGCTAATTTAGAAGATGAGACTGGTCAGGTATGTTTTTAATGTTATTCAAGCACAGCAAAATATATAAAATCAAATCAAAATTTGGTTCAAATTTTTTTCTATAGTTGACCAATAATGTATCAATTGGAATATTCAGCGATGATATGTTTGATGCATTCGTGATTGAACTTGAACAATTAATTAGTAATATAGATCATGTGCATATTCATGAAATTTGGAAGGTCTCATCGATTGATTCAAAAAGCTGACATTATATAGTATTATATGATGAGGCAATGCATCTTTGTACCTGTCTAACATTGATTAATCGCGATATTCCCTGCCAGCATTTTTTTACTGTAATGTTATACTCAAAAATTGCCAGGTTTCATATTGAACTTATATCACGGTGATGGTATTTAGACCAGGAGGTAAACATGAATATTACAAGTAAGCCTGTAATTTCTACAACAGTTAATAAACAAATTGGACAATTTGAGCACAATTTACAAGTTAATTTCACACATCTTAATAATATTCGTGGCGATTATGTTTTTACAAGTAAAGTTCATAAAGAAATATCACACAAGAAGCTATGGGGTGAAGGATTTGGTGTTATGAAAAAGACCCTTGACTTAGCAATTGCAATGGGAAAATACGATGAATTATATGATATGCATCTTAAACTTGCAAATAAAATGGAAATAGAGCTCATAAGAAATAACGGACACAACATTCAAAATGATGATGATCCTGCCCAATTCGCAATTACCATTAGCAACCCAATTGGTGTCTATTCTAAGGGCAGAAAGCCAAAAAATGGAAGATTAATATCATTTAATGATAATAAATATAAGAAACGAAAAATAGATAATACAACTCGAGTTGATCATAAGGCACTGGGTGTTCATAGGAATGAATTGTCAGACATTACAAATTTGAATGTGTCTCATCGTTGTGGTATTTGTGGTAAAACAGGTCACAATTCCCATATATGTAATATGAACAGCCCTAATGAGGATGATTATAGTGATCATAAGGATGATGATTTGTCTTTGCTAGTGGAAAAAAATAATATGGAGAATTTAAATTTTACAAATCAAGGTAAATTCAGTGTTGTCATTTAATAAATTAACAATAGTACTAATTATTCAATGCTACAATAGTCATTAGCCATGCCAACTATGAGAATACTCCTCGACACTGTAGTGTTTGTGGCCAAGCAGGTCATAATGCTCGCACATGCACAAGTCAAGATAGTTATATTGATTATGATATATCACTGTCAATTGCAGGACATAATAATGGTATGTTTAAAAGTTTATATTTTCATTGAAATGGTTTTATAACTATTATTATTAAATTTTGTATATTGTAGCCAATGTTAATTATGAAAATAAGTTTTGTCGTTGTGGCAACTGTGGTCAAACTGGTCATAATGCATGCACATGCAATGCTACGAAATAATTTTACTATTTGAGTCAAAATTTTCATTTATTATATTTCATGCTTATACTGCATCTATTTTTAACTAATACTATTATAGTATGGTATTTAGCTTTGTTAACTGTACTTTTGAACATTATTGTTTGAATGAATATTGTGATAGTCTTGATAGTAGCGTAGGATTTCATAAGCTATTAACCATATTATTTTAAGAGCTAGATTTCATGCATAGTTTTTTTTTTGTAGTAGAGCAATGATAGATTAGGTTATATGAGCGTTGTTGAATTCAAAAGTTCTGGTTAAACTTTGTGGCATAGTAAGATCATGTCAAGGTTTATTTCTATTGTTTTATGATACTCGATTCAAAAGTATTTAAATTTTATATCAAGGTAAGGATGAGTTAGGATTATATTATAATGGTTTATTTTCGTTGTTATAGTTATGCAAAAGACATTGTTTCGAAAGAACATATCTAAAAAATTTGGCCAGTATTAGATCTAATATTAGGATTATGTTCTTTAGGGAACTTGGGTTAACAATGATATTTAAGTGATAATATCATGCATCAATATGTAGCATTATTCTTAATATAAGCAGAAATTTATTTAATTAGATAATGGAATTAAGTAGAGTTAGAACCAGTTTTGGTTTATATGATAAACAGGTTTTATTAGTTTGAAGTTTGTGAGTTGTAATATTAACGTTAAGCATACAATACAAATCACGTGCCAATAGTAAATATTTATTTGTTGTTATTTTTGCTAAAGGCATGTAAAAATTGACCAGCGTTAGGGTTAGTATTATGGTTAAAATAATGAACGTCATACAGTAAAATTTGGCCAGAATTTTTTTTATTAGACATAAAAGATTATTTTTAAGGCAAAATTTGAGTTGCAATGTTTGAAAAGCCTTCGATTTCGCATTACACAAAGATTGCATCAATCTTGTAATCTATATAGAAAATTGTCTTTGTTTGGAGTTTATTAATAGAAATATAATTAAACACATAGATGTTAAACAACTATAATAAGCAATACTATAGTGTATAATACCATAGGTGCATTTTAGTAAACCCATTTTAGTAAAAGTATAATTTGTTTATAAATAAATTTAGCACTTAAAAAAATATATAATTATATATTATTTAACTTACTTTATTGATTATTTAAACTTTGAATATAAGCTTGAACAATTTTAGACAATCTTGAATGTTAGATATTTTATTTAGTATAGACACATTCATATACAACACTTTCTCTAATAATATCTTATTTTTTCTATTTTTTACTCTACTCTTTTCATCTTCTTGATTTTGCAATCTTAATCTCTTATTTTAGTTAATAATAAATTAGCACTTTAGTATCCTTTCTAAATTAAATACTAAACAAGTTTAACTTAAATTATTACTAACTCTTAAATTTAGTTAGCTATGGCCACTCTAGTTAGTTTTAGTTACAGATAAACTAGTTTGAGTTTTTTTCTTATTTTAGAATATAAAATTTAAATATATTCTTTTTATTGTAAGAAAATTAAATTTCAATAAAGATAAAGACATAGTCTCACTATTAATATTCAAAAAAAAATATTGTTTATTTTGAACTTTAACTATAGTATATTTTGTAGTATTAGAATATTGTTTTAAGAAAAATTCAGTTAAATTATTATTAAAAGTTAAAATAATATCTGTATTATTAATAAAAGTGTTGCTAATTTTTACTTTAAATGATATTATCTGATTATGTAAAAGTCAATTAGCTTTTCAGATTTTATATAATCAAATAAAGCAAGAAAAAGAAAAATAAAAGAAATGCTTTAATACCTCAAAATTTTGTTATAAAAATTATACTTCAACTTTTAAGCAAAAGTTTTTAATACTAAATTTTATACTATATATATCTAAGCTCTTTTACTCTAATCCAAAGCTAATATTAACCTCTAACTATAAATTATTTTCTTTTAATAAAAATTTTATAAGATTAGATAATATTACTATAGGTAAAAATTAGTTATAACTATTAATAAATAATTATTATAAATCAAACTAATAATGTTTAATATCAATAATATAAAAATTAGTATAATATAAAATAAAACAATTGTTATTAAAACAAAAATCAAAATTCTTTTTTTTTTAGAATGACTACTTTGGAGTTTGGCACTTTTATTTAATATTAGTTTAATCATATAGACCTCATCTGACTTTGCTATATCAACAAAAGTATAATTAGTTATATATACAACTTTAATTATTATCTATTTAAGGGTTCTGCTATACCTATTTCTATCTATAATTACTCACCAACTGCTATACTTAAGATCTGTTTATAAATTCTCTATTTAAACTCTCAGATTAACTTTATACTATTAGATATTCTTTCTAATAAACAATTGCTACTAAGGTCTCTTAAAACTACTTTATTCTTGTAATAAACCTACTAGAGCAGTTTATGTCTAATATATATATCATTTAATTTTTTGGTAACTTATGTTGAGTTTGAGGACAAGTACTTGTGGCTTTTTATTTTTGCTACTATTATCTATTTCATACTTTTGTAAAGTTTACTTAAACTCAATATATACTTTACAAACTATTATTTATATTCTTGGCTTTCCAAACTACTAATTTAGATGACTTAGAAAAGCTGCGATCTGCTTCTGATCTTTATAGTTAGGTTTTTTTCTTTAGTTTTTCTCTGGCAGATAGTTAATAGAATGCTTTTTAGCAAACACTTCAGTTCTATACAGTTTTACCAGTTCTTCAGATAATAATCTTTTATATAGTATTATCAAAAATCTGTGCTATCTTTCTACTTGGGTCTTGCCAAGCAGACTTCTGTATTCTTTAATCTATTAGTTTTACATGGCTACTTTATTTAGATTTTGTGTAATTTATATATTATACTATAGTTTTACAACCTCTCAGTACTAACTAGTATGACTATATTATAGATGCAAACTCAATAAGATATAGTTTACCAAAAATACATTTCATAAATTCAAATTTTGTTACTAATAGAATTTGAACTTTTGTTTTGCTACTTGAAGTGCAACAACTTATCAACTATATTAAGTTACTACATTCTAAAAATCAAAATTCTTTAATATTAAAGTTTGTATTAAAGTTTAAGATAGAACAAAAGCATAATTTTATTAAAATTTTACAAGAAATTTTTTTATTAAAATATAATAAGTAGTTTTATAAACAAAATTTTGAGTTATTAAAGATTTTTTAAAACTAACAAAGTTTGTTTTAATTTTATATTACATCTAATTTGATATTATACTACAGATTAATAATTTTATTAATTATAATATCTGACAAAAGTTTCTTTATATTTCTAGTTTTTGCTAAATTATGTATAAGTATATAAAATTTTATTATATATAATACATTGCATATGCAGATTATACTAATATTTTTCAGGTAAGCTTGATAGTAAAATATCTGCTTTAATTATATATAAAATTTTAGCCAAAAAAAATGCTTCTTGCTTTATATAAATGATATAAAATTGTTTTTAATCACCTATCTAAAAGGTTTTAAGCTTTCAATTTATAAACTAGCAAAGCAAATTTGCTATGATAAAAGTTCTGTGTGCTATTGGGTAAAAGGTAGCAAAAATCAAGAATTTAAAGAATAAACTAAGGTCAGATCATAAAAGAGCTACTATCCAAAAACAAGACAAACAGATTTTGAAGCTGAGAAAAAAACAAAAATATTATAGTTTTAGAAAGCTGTTGAAAGCTGATAAAATGAAATGTTGCTATTTATATGTATATTATTTAATAGCATCTTTATGAAGATGGGAACTGCTATTATAGAAAGCTCTCAAAGCTTTTGCTAGGAGAGAAGCATTGAAAAATATCTTTTATGATTGAAGTATAAGAATTTCAACTAGGATTCTATAATGTTTATTAACAAAATACTTTTTGCTTGAATTAACAATTAAAAAAAGTATAACAATTTTTCAGAAAAAGAAAATTAACTTGTTCTATCAAGCATTTATTGAAAATTCACATATAGAGCTGTTTTTCTTCTTTAGACTTTAGCAGATTGATTTGTTTTATACGTAATCTTAATATACAAGATATAATTACTTTATATGAAACAGGCTTTCTGTCTTCTATTGTAGACCTTTTTAATAAACACTATAATAAATAGATCTTGTAAAAGGCCAATGATCCAAAGCATCATTTAAAAATTGCAAAGGCTTGGAAGAAAAAAATACTATTTAGATTCTTTTCTAACTATTAATGTCATCTAACCAAAACCTAATTAAAAATGTCTAGAAGCTGATAAAAATAAACTTGCCAAAAAAAAATTAGAACTCTTAGTCATATAAAGAGTGAAATAACAAGAAAATAGAATAGCTTATCTAAAGAATATGCAAAAAATTTGGTTAGGAATATAAGAAGTTATATAGAAGCTTTAATTAAGCTAAAAATAAATATACAATGTATTAATTTTTCTTGTAATGCAATATATTTTTAAATAAAAAAATTTTTTACTTACCTTACCTCTGTGCTGAGTTAAAGATATAGAGAAACTTTTGTAAAATCGATGTAATATTAAATATTACTAGGATTTAATAATATTAATTAATTTTTTTACTTTGGTTATCTTGCCAGTAATCTTTATTAAAATTAAACTATTTAATAAAACAGAGAATATTATATATTTTTAATATTTAGATCTAATATCCTATAGTTACTTCTAAAAGAATTTACAAATGATTAGTTATATCAAAAAGATAAATTTAATCTAAAAAGCTATATTAGACTACTATTTTATAATAAGATATTATTAATCTAATGATATCTTTTTATAAAAAAGTGAAAAAAATACTAATACTAATACTAAAAAAAAAAATATATAATGAAAGAAAAAAAAATTTAATAATCACAATTATAAACCTATATTAGGCTTTAAAAATTATATATTATAAGATAAAGAAGCTCTATATTAATTTTATTACAGTATAATAATATATGTATTTAAAAAAAAAATAATATATATGTCA